TATCGGCGCGTTTTTGTGCCTTTCCTTAAACTTTTTAGGCAAAAATACGAATCGAATGACACCTTGGTCGTAATTTTTGGACAGGGCTGAAAAATGTCACCAAAAAGAGCTAAATCGAGTACATGTGAACCAGACTACAAGGGTTAATCCTCCACTAGTCAGGTTCAGACTTCCTCAGTTGGTTTCTTTAATTGTCCCTTCGCGTGTTTGTCATGCATCAACATATTCAGTGATGTTATAATCCGCCAAAATAATCGATAAAACGTAGTGATTGATATTACCAGTGAATACAGCTAATATATCCTCCTAATATGTCTTTAATGCATTGAGGGAATCGAAAACATATACAGTGAAATGATCCAGCAAATGGAAAATCCAATAATGTGATTTAATGTAGTTTCTTTCAGTCAGTTAGCTCAGTCTGTGTAACTATGAATATTTCTGCTGGAGAGAAAACTGGAAATACTCTAGTTTTCCGAATATATTTGATTATCGCCAAATATATAGGGGTGGCTCCCCGTGGAAAGAATCATGACAAACTATCAAGAAAGATATTCTCGAATCTATTGTCCATATTATGTTTTATCATGCTATTCTGCGTCCAACTCCCTATGTATAGAAGAGTCGTCACCAAACTGGTTCAACACACTGAATCAATATTTAAAGCATCGCTTCACATTGTGGAAGAGATATTATTGATTTGTTTACAGTTATCAGTATTCCTAAGTGGTTACGTCTTTTGGAAAACCTGGGAAATCGTGTCCGACGAAATATTGCCTGATACTTTTCGCGAAAAACAAAGATTCTGCTATAAATACAACAAGGTGTATGGAGTTCTTAAAATAACCATTTGGCATTTATTTTTCTTGATTCTGGAAATACATGCATTTTATAGTTGGTACGCTCTTGATTCATCATATTGGCTTATAATCACGGTTGCTTCGATTAGGCGGTATCTTTATTTTGTGGCAGTAACGTTAATTTGGGAAATATCCAATATATTAATTATTCGTTATGATTACTTGAGAACGCTTATTGAAAATGCATTGTATGAAGATTCATTGTATGGACTCGGTGAACTACAATTGAAATTTAAAATTCGAGAAATCAAGACAAAGTATAAGAGACTATACACAACAATTCTGGACGTTAACAAAGTTTTTGGACTGCCCTTCCTTTTTTTAATGATTTATAATTTAATTTCTATACTCAAATGTTTTCAGTGGAGTTTAGATTACCTCCCTTGGCTTAAAGATCACGTAGGAATATATGTGCCGGGGTTTGCTGTGTTCATTTATCAGTTGGTGAGTACTTTTGATTTATATGCAATTGGAACCTCAATTTGAAGGATTCTTATAATGTATCATTACAAGCGATTCCCCATAAGCTGATGTTATGCTTCGAAATAGAAACTACCAAAATGTCAGATACGAAAAACATATAGTCATACTGTTATACCAATGAATCATAAAAATATATTCCTTGTCACTAAAATTGCTTACTTCAAAGCTATATTGAGTAACGAACCGTTACACTACTTTCTCATTCAAGACTGTAGTATTTGAAAATACTGCATCCACTCTGTATTAGGTTCTGAATAGTCGAAAGATAAATACTAAATTCCTCAGTGAAGAACGAGAAGGTATCTGCTATCTTTTATAAAGCATATAACTGGAATTCCCTGAAAATAAAAACTGAAAAAGAATTCTCCCTTATAAAATAGTGGCTGGATAAGAAGCTACTGACGGTGAATATTGAGAAAACGCATTACCTACCATTCTATTGTAATGCAGCTGGAGCACCCCCATTCGATCAATTAACAATAATAACTGATACACCTTTCCTGAAACGAAAAAAAAAATACTTATAGGGTCTGGCCTAGATGACACTAATGATTATTATGAAACAGAAAGTATTTGACAGTGACATAACTTGTTAATCAAACCATCATCATTGTTTGAAATATTGTAAAATGAGAACTTTTCCGTTTTTTATTTAAACAATGATAAAAATAAAATAAAAACAACAATAAAAATTAATTGGCGCTCCGGGGCGACTTCATTGATTCCAGTGGCGCATTTGCTTTTTCAGCTGCAGGAAAACCCGGAAAAACCTGCAGCACCACATCATCTGAAGATCTTGATCTAACAATGTCCTCTCTCTTATAAAACAAAATGTAGGGTGTCTCCAGAGGCTCCAATAAATTCAATGTATCGCCAAAGAACACTTCGTGACACGACTATCGTCAAACTTAAACTCTTCCGTTTCTTCTTTGACCAAGGCGTAATAATGACCAAATTCAACGCCAGAATTACAGTGGACAATGACTGCATGAATATTATAATAGTGGTCTGCTAGGTTGAAATGTTCATCTATTTCGAACCTTTCAAAGAGTTTCTTGCTTCCGTTAGAGGTTGAGTCTTGTTTGAAAATCATCAGTGTTATTATTAGATTGACTGGTGCCTCAGCTATACTTGTTTTCTTATGAAGGTTTTGGCTACCGTTTTTTTTTTGACCAGCGTGAATTGCTGTATCTCGATTTTTCGCACGAGCGCAGGACAATTAATGTAGCCTACTAGTGCGACGTTTTGAGTGAGGTCCGACTTTCATACCGCCGCAAAAGACGAGACCTATCGAACAGGGAAGTGGTTCATCTCCATAACAATGCTCGCCCCCATACAGCAGCTTTGACTAGGGAAAAATTGGAGCAACTGGGGTGGGAAACATTGGAACACTCTCATTACAGTCCAGACCTGTCACTCTGTGACTTTCATGTGTTTGGTCCTCTCATGAAAGCTTTGGGAGACCAAAGATTCGATAGTGATGCTGAGGTTGAAGCCTACGTACGCAACTGGCTGCAGACACGACCTGCATCTTTCTACGTGGAAGGAATTAGAAAACTGCCTATCCGCTCTGGAAAATGTGTTTCCAAATCAGATTATGTAGAAAAATAAATTATATTCTTTTTTGCGTTTAAAATAAAAATAAATTACAAAAAAAAAATCTCGTTTATATTTGATTCACCTACTACGTTAGATTATAAAATAGTTGTAATTTAGAAGTAACTTTTAGTTTAGGCTTGAGGAAGTTATTGTGTAGCGAAACACGTGTCGCGATTTTTGTAAAATCCTTTAAAGTGAAAATTATACAATAAACTGTATTATTCAGTTTCAAAAGAGCCTGTTTCAGTCCATATAGATATTCTCCAAATAAAAATGCCGTTTCAATACCAAATGTGTTTATGATCAGATTTCTCTTGGCGGCAATGACAAGTAAAATTACAGAACTGAAGATATCTTCAAAATCAATTTCATATTTCTGTTCACAACCTCTCATAACTAATCTCGCCTTTTATCGTCCATCCTCTTTGATTTTGAAAAACCATGGCAGCTATCCGTCTTCATTTATATGGTTATTCTACAGCTTCTTGATATGTTAACATAACATTATCTTCATATTTTTTAGGTCTTCTGGTTATCCTTTTTTGATTTTTTTCTCCTAAGTTTGAAATATCCTCTATATCTGTTTTCAAATGTTCGCTATCATTTTCTGTTTCTTCGTTAATCAAAATTATTATTTCTCTCATATTTTCATCGCCCTGTAGATTATCAGTTGGAAATTCATCGTTTCCATGGTTTTCAACTCCAAATATCCGCAAACGTGATGGATCTGGTGTCCGATCTCTCCATTTTTCTGCAAATGTCACATCCGTGGAAGAGACAGGACTTCCATTCAATAAGTATGCCAAAGAGCACGAGCTCTCTCGTCGTATCCCTAACCCTCCTTGCTTAATTTTAAAACCGGAAACGCTTCAAATGCTACATCGCCCCATAAATAACGATTCATTTCTCAACCGACAGCAGTGAACCTGCCATGCTTGCGCTGGCGACGTGTCACCTCGATAGCATCTTCATCTCTCTTTACATTGATTACGTCACACGTGACTCTCTCACTCTTACACTCATATGAAACATCAATTCTTCCCCAAATCTAAAGATATTTCCCTATCTTCTACATGGAAATGACGTCACAATTTCCCTAAAATTCTATAGAACTCAAAAAAGCGGTTAAGTATTAAAAATGACTCAATTTCGGTCCCAACGAAACGACCGCCATAAATATCAACAATTCGCAATTACTTCTACTATCCCACGTTGGTGTCGAGGCTAAACACAATGTCTACTACGCCGATGACCTAGGTTTGATTCTCATACCGATAAATTTTTACAATTGAATTTTTCTCAGCTGCCGATGACCACTAGGACCACGTGACTGGTGCGCGACAAGGTGGCTTGAGGACAGTCATATCATCGTCTCCGATCCCGAAGATGAAGAGGTGTCCTCGTGGAACCCTTAGGTCAGGGTTCTGCGCCTTTAGCCGACCCAGCACCGGGTTTCGTCTTGTGGACGTCCTCCGGGATCCAGAACGAAGCTTGGTAAGCTTTGGGAGCTTATCCAGACTGACGACCGCAAGTGATGCCTGCTCCCACGGCTTAATGTTCATTGTGGCTTTCTTCAGCCACTCTAGCGCCACGTCGTCATCGAAGACCACTCTGACGATGTATGTCCACGACTTGAACGTGGGTGGTTTGGTGTTGCTGCTGGAGGCGGAGAGGATGATCTTGTCCAGCTCCTTCAGCAGTTGTTTTTTGAAGAGACTCTTCCGTTCTACGGTAACCTTAACGTACGGGTTAGTATCATCTATGATGGCAACCTTGAGGTGTCTCACGGCGGCCTCCACGAAGGTTTCGGGAGGTGCAGCGATATTACTGTCGTTGAGCGACTTCTGAAACTTTCTTGAGGTTCCCTTCGTGGAGGTGCTCAAGTGAGGGCGCTTTCCTGCAGGGGCAGCCGGTTCCTTGCCTTTATTCAAGGCGTAGCTGTACTAATTTTGAGTTGATCTGGAAAGTGCCCAATTATCAAAGAAGTATTGACAAAATCAAGAAGTACGTGACCTAGTATCGAGAAGATACTTATGAGAACCTTGTGGCGCCGACAAGAAAATGTTGGAAGTAACCGAAAGAAAAAGACTTGTAATTTCATGAGTGGAATGACATTGAAAAAGTTACTTTTCCACGGAAGCCCTTGAAAATAGGTATTTCAAGGTATTCGTTTCAACATAATGAATAATTGTTGAAAGAACTAGAACTTATTCAAACATATGTTTTTCAGCACTCTGCTCTACGAAAATCAGCTTGACCTGATATAAAATATAATTATTTCCGTTCAATAACATGTGCTTTCAAATATTCAGGTCCTTCTTTGAGTCTTTCGATTCATGCTTTTCCTAATTGAAAACTCTTTTGGGCCTTAGGGTAAAATTGGCTCAAAATGAAAATGAAATTAAAAAAAAGAAATAAGGTTTAAGTCAAAGAGTGTGCAGCAGAGGAATATTAGATATTACAAATGTATAAAAATGTTGCAGTATTTAAATTTAGTAAAAATGATGTGTTCAAAAAGAAAATCGTATGAAATTGTTGAAAAGTAGCCCATGTTTATGGTACTTGCTCATTTCGAATTTTCTATTTCAGATACAGACGACGTTTTTGATAATGGCCTGTGACAGGATAGAACGCTGCGGATTGGATATCGTCATCGCATGCATTCGATTGCAAAGAAACATGGTATTGTCTCCAATTAGCGGAGAACTTGATTATCTCAAAAAATATTTGGAAAAACTAGCTCCAAAATTCACTTTGGCTGGCTGCATACTCGTCAACAGACAAACTTTAGCGTCACTTATTCCATTAATAGCTTCATATCTTATAGTCATAATACAACAGCAATAAGTGGTGAACGGATCAAGAAAAAATAAACGTGTTTTGAAAATATATGCAATCGGATATGGGATAATATAAATATCCAAATATCGGAATAAATGTAAATAATCAGCTTTCCACTCATTACCAAAGTTTGAACTTATTTTTGCACTGTTGCCGTGAAGAAACATTTCAGATTTCAAAAAATCAACAATTGTGAATTACAACAAATTTGACACTTTTAGGACTATCATTGAGGTAAAGTCACTAATGCGCATGGCCACTGTCCACTATGTAATGTTTCTGGATTTCCATAAATGATACGACTTTATCACCTACGTACGCAGCTGGCTGCA